CACCCCCGGGGAGGCTGGGCTGTGCCTTTTCTCGCCAGCAGAGAGGAACATCTAGTGGAGACGTTCCCACAAGGAATATCAAGCAAAGCCCAGAAACACGTTCCCTGCTACTGTATCAGGGCAGCAAAGTGCACTGTCCAGCCTCCCAAACGCCGTCCCTGAAGACGCAAGGCTGGACACCAGGTCCGTGTCGCTGCTCCCCAAAAGCACCCGGCCTTCGGCTGCTGACACACACAGGTGCTGTGCTGCACTTCCAGAGGACACACAATGGAAACAGTGTCCTGCTTTACAGTCGCAAGGCGCCGACGGGACACACCAAGGGATCCCGGCTGCTTAACCAGGTGCTTCTCCATACAAGAGCGGCCGACGGTCCTATCCACACATGAGCTTAGACACACTCGCTTGCTGTGCTCCTCTAATTCATAACTGACCTCCACTCTGCGTGAACATCTAAAATCTAATCCTCTCATAACTGTATTTATTAGCTCCAGCAAAGCCTGCAGGTTACAAAACACTCGCTCTTTTTTCTTCTCTGAACAAGCCAATTGATGCTAATGCTGCTGCAGCGAGGCTGAGTGCGTTGGGCCAGTCCTGAGCCCTTATCAGCACCGAGGTGATCAGGGCTTCTCCACAGCCAAGGGAGGAGGAAGGAGCCTTGCACCGTGTTGGAGGCTGGATGAGCAAAGAGACTGAAATAATTTTGAGGCGTTTCCCTTGGTCGAGCAGCTTCAAAACAGTGTTGCTAATTAATTTAATTATAAGGCATTGAATACTTCCCCAAAGAGAGGTGCTGAGAGGATGCAAGCTAATTTTAAAATCATAACAACAATCTATAAACTTAATCTGCTCATTTTATTATCTTCAGTGTTGATGAGGAGCTCAATTAAAATTGTTTATTGTTGCAACAAGCTAAGCTAGAAAGCATACTTCCATTATGTGCTGCTGCTTTTCTGTCTTGGAGGAGAGGCCAGGAAAGCAAATACCTCTTGTTTCTGCTGAGTTAGAGCACAGTCCCATCCACAGAACCACACTGTCTAAAAGAAACAGCTTTCTGAAACACCACATCCGAGTCCTTCACCAGAGTAAGTCAGAAGAGTAATTAAACTCTGAATTTCTTTTGGGAACAGGTAGAGAGACTCAGACAAATAAATTATGCCTTCAATTCTGATTGTGCTAGAGAGTGTAGTATGGGAGTCTAATTCAGTGGGGGAAACACTAAAGAAATGATTGAAAGATGATTGCATTTTTACTTGGAGTACTCCAGCACAGAGCGAGCATCATACGATTACACAAGCAAATGGCACAGAAGGCTGCGGGGCTGCGAGCCCCGTGCAGAGCTCAGCTGCTGTGGGAGGGCAGGCACCCCTGCCCACACAGCCACAGCAGCTTCCCAAGGGACCCACGGCTCCGCACAAGCCACCGGTCACTGGAGCCCAGGAGAAATTGCCATGACTCTAGATAGGCTGTGCTGAGGTTTATCTCTCTCCAGCTAGTGCTGAGGTTTCTCTCTCCAGCTAGGCAATGCTCAGAGGGGCTAAGGAGCAGATCCCGGCAGCTCTGATAGCAGCCGTGGGCAGCACCCAGAGCCAGCCCCTCCTCGCATCTGTAACTTTGGACACAGGGTCTATTCTGGGGGGTTCAAGAGGAACATGTCCCTGTGTGCTTCCCAGACTCTGAAGCACTCTGTCACCTCATCACCAAGCCCTGGATTTCCCCAGACCTCCTTGAAAGCAGCTGCACCAACCTGGAGCCAGCCCCTCCGGCAGTGACCTCCCAGCGAGGGTCCCAGCATCCCGACACAGGAGGCTGCTGGAAATCCCAGTGGACAGGACAAGAGCGGGGAGAGGATCTGGAATCAAGCTGGTTCAACTGCCTGCCTAGAGAACTATAATACACTTTCTCTATAGATAAAATGTAAACATAAAGAGCATACAAATTGCACTTGATCCTTGGGATCTGGCATTTCTACCAAATGAAGGTTTCGGTTCACCATTATTACTCTTCTGGGTGTGAAACAGCAGGATGGTGAGTGACCAACCGGACCAGACATGGGCCAAACTTAAAGACAAATTATTTAGGTTAAAAAAAATTAATGAAGTGACATTGGGAAATGTTGTTTAAACTGCAGAGGTGGCAGAAAGGAGAGAGCTTGTTTACCCCAGAGAGCAGCAAACTCCCTGGAGCACGCCCAGCACTCGCACGCTGCCGGGGCAGCTCCGTCTGCGCCCGCAGACCAACGGCAGATCCTGGCCCCGCCAGGCGAGGGTTCCTGTCTCAAGCTCTGCACAGGCTTGTCTGTGCTGGCTCGCACTCCCCTTTGCATTTGCTACTGGGAGCTCAAAACCTGCGTGGGGTAGGGTGCCCTTCTCCCCGCCAGCCTGCACCACTAGGGCTGCAGGACCCAAGAGCGTCTGGGAGTGCGCAGTGCTCACTACGGCACTGCCTGGGAACGCCAGCACAAGGCAGAAAATCGACAAACCAACTTTGGCTGACACCTTCTTGAGACCACTGGTTGGTGAAGTTCAGGCAGAGAGTTCTGATCTCTGATGCAATCGAGCTAAAATATCTGAAAAAAGTGAAATCTTGTCAGTCTTGAGCACTCTTGGATGCAGCCTGGCCACGCAGCTGAGCCAGAAGAGCCCGAGGGCCAGTGAAAAGGAAACCACCGCGAATGAGGCTTTACTAAACAGAAGCTGGATCCCTACGGTAATGTGTTCTGTGAAGGCCAGCAGGCCCAGGACAGCCACCAGCACCTACGGTCGTGCTGCTCTGCTTGACCGCGTGACCAGGAGACAAGGAAGACACCCAGGCACGGCAGGTGCCGTGCCAACCCCGCAGGAGGCTGCCTTAGGGCCCTTCGCTCAATCGTCATTTAGATCCTCATCCCCTTGGAGCAGGCTAATAGGAGGATCTGACTCGAACAGATTTCCAGCCGCACTGTGAACATCTCCCACAGCATTCATTCCCTTTGTAAATCTTTGTCTTTCATCATTAATAATTAATTCACTTGCAATACTTACAGATGATAATAAAAGGCCTGCAAAACTCTGTACGAGGCTGCAAAGACCCATTTAATTAACTAACTTCAAGAAAACTTGTATTATTAAGCAGATGCTATTTACGTCTTCCGTCAGGGATCAGGCCTGCATCAGTGCGAACTGCCAGCGTGCAAGGCAGGCAGTACTGCACTACCGTCTGCAACAAAATAAAGTGCTGATGTGCCCTGGTTTGCCTGGATTGAACGGCAGGATCTCAGGGATCCCATGGATGCAATGGTCAGTTCTGCCCAAGCCCCAGCGTCTGGCTGGGGTGAGCAGTCCCTTTGGCACAGCCCCTGCAGCCACTTCAAACACCCAGAACTGGGGTGTGCCCCTCTGCAGAGGCTGTGGGTGCTGTGGGGCATGCTGGCACTGCAGCCCTCGGGCATGGACCTCCGCCCAGCCGTTAACCTGCAGTGGAAAACTGACGCCATGGCACAGCCAAGCAGGACACTCCAGGCAGGCTGCTGCCTTTCCCTTCCCTGCTCCCGACCGGGCACAGGGCAGCCAGAGGAGGAGGGGAAGGGCACTCACCACAGCTGAGGTGGCCCGTCCAGTGGCATGCTGCCAGAGCAGACATGGGAAGCATCCACCCAAAGCACAGCCATGCCTGCTGTCTCTCCGACTCCAAACCAATTCCCAGGTTTTCATCCCATTTCTGGCTGAATTGGGAGGTTCCTTTCTGCTGCTGTGTGTTGAATTAGTGCTGTTCATAAAACCTTTTCCCCTGCAAAAGCTTCCAGACCTAGAGAGGGAAGAGCACTCATCCATCTACCGCTCCGAGGCAGAGCGGACACCTCTGAGTGGGATGCTCCGGCTCAGCTGACAGCACGGAGTCCCCAGGCTCTGGCGTCAGCCCACAGCTGTGGGCACGCAGCAACGCTCTGCCTGCTTTGCTCCACAGCCTAGGTGACAACAGTCAGAGCCCATCACAGCTGCCCATGAAGCCAGCGAAGGCAAGATGCGGGACGCTCTGCCCACAAAACTGCAAGGCAGGAAGCAGGGAAGAGAGGCTAAAGTAGCAACAGATGCTTCAGCATCAGTCCTGCACGGGTGGCAGGTCTCTGCCTGCAGGCTCAGTCTGCGCGTGGGCAGCAGAGTGCTGCCTGCTGTTGCTCTGGTCTCTAAGTTCCCACCCTACTGCTGGGCTCCAGCAGTAAAACGAGGGACCGGGACCTGCACAAAAGGCAACGAAGGCTGAGAGCATCAGCAGGGCAGCCCAAGGGCTCCACTGCTTGCCCTCTCTTGGCTATGGCTCTCTTCATCAAAGCTTTTCATTTCTTCCCCTGAAATTGTCTTGTCAAGAGAGCCTTAGAAACATTCAGCACCATTTGCTCTGCACTTTAGTGGAGAATATTTGTTTTTGTTCACCAACTGTGGTGTCAAGACTCAGTGAAGTAACTCTTGGAGCGGAAGGGACGCAGCTGGGAAAGTTTCCTTCAGCATAGCAGATGGGGAAAGTCACCTTCCAGAAGTTGGGCGCTGGGTGTGAGCTGTGCTCTGGTCTCTAAAAATAAAAGCAATAAAAGCTCCTTGTGGGGTTGCTAGAACATGTCAGCTTGTATAAAAATACCCATGGATTTCACCAGTAGGATGCTAGATATGAAAATGCTGTCAGCTCTGGATTAAGACAGTGCACAAATGTCCATCCACCCTGTTAACCTAATTACCATATGAAATGGCATCATTACAGTTTGAGTCATCTTACAAAACAGTGCTAGGGACAGCCACATCCACCTAGGCACACTGCACACATCCCAGAAGTCCTTGCCTTCCCTGGCACAGGGGACGGGAAGCCCTGCTCTCTTGCCATGTGGAATACTTGTTTGGCAGCAGCCCAGTGATTCCTACATCCAACCTGAAACCGCAAGGTTTCAGAGATTTGGTCCAGTTTGGGGCTGGCTGGCTGCCTCCTCCCCAGGAGCACCGGGTCAGCGCTCTGCATGTCTGCAGGGCACCGCTTCACACCTGCACGCCTCGGCCATGCATCTGGATCACCTGGGTCCGGAGAGTCTGGATCCCGCTCAGGATGGTCTTCTGGTGCTCCACCAGCGTGATCCCCAGGCTGAGGACATCTCTGCAAAATGAGCCCCACGTCAGCCACGAAAAACAAGCCCTAACTGTAAAGTGCCCCGACACCGACTGCTCCCAGGCAAGGGCAGCACAGGTTTCAGACTATCAGGCTACTGCGGACCTGCCAGAGCAGGAAATCCCCAACTTGCCCCATCCAAAGCAATACAGACCCTGACTGGGAATCCAGGGGTAACACACGCCTGCAGCACACCAAGCATGAGACAGCTCCCGGCCCTGCCACCCTGCGCTGACTGCGTAACAGGTTATCAGTAAATTGCATTCAATTTGACTCTGCTTTCTGGAAGGGACAGGCAACACTACTCTTGTCAGAAACTACAGGTTTAAATCTCAGCTTCAAAAACCAGCAACTGAGATGCACAACATACGCAGCCCAACCCTCACCAGTGAACTCTTACAGACGTGTTTTGGAAGATCTCTCCTCTTGTTTAGCATCACCTGACTGTAACTGCAAAGCAGAGCTCACTCACACTGCACCCAGCGACATGAGGTTATAGCCAGGAAATCATTTCACTTACTGGGCTGTCATCCTGGCCACCGATTCCAGGTAGCAGTAGCCCGCAGCGGTGAAGTTGTCTTTGTACTTGCCCATTTCTATCGCTTCCAGCCACTCGCCCACAGAGCTGAAAGTCGGGAAGGCTGAGAAGGTACGCTCGGTGAGGGGGATGGACGTGCTGTGGGACCTGCCAACAAAACGGGGTGGTGAGGAGGGAGAAGGGCATGGCATGCCTGAGGTGGGAACCGGCAGGCAAAGCAGAACAACAGGTAGCAAAGCAAGAGGGCGATCACCTGGTGCACGTAGAGCTGGGGCACTTCAGGGGCTCCGGGCTCTGCACCATCTTGCTCAGGATGTGGTGGATGTGCGAGAACTTGGGTCTCTGGCTGCGGTCCTTCTGCCAGCAGTCGAGCATGAGCTGGTGGAGGGGCGGCTGGCAGTTCACCGGAGCAGGCAGGCGGAACCCATCCTCCACGGCCTTCATCACCTGCAGCGGCAGAGGAGGGCGGAGGGGACAGGGTCAGGCGCCGCGATGCAGATCGCAGGCAAACCCCTGGCACAAGCCTCCCTCCTCACACCCCATCTGGGGAGCAGCAGCAGCTCCTCCACGCACCACGGAGCCACCTGCACACCATTAGCAATGACAACATTGTCATCTACTGCACGGCCGCCGGGGACTCACGTCCTGGTTGGACATGTCCCAGTAGGGTCTCTCGCCGTAGGACATGACTTCCCACATGACGATGCCGAAGCTCCACACGTCGCTGGCCGGACTGAAGTGGTGATACTGGATGGCTTCAGGGGCCGACCACAGCACCAGGCTCTTCCCACGCTGGACGGGCAGAAGGGGAGAAATGATGTGCTCGCACAGCAGGACATAGCCGATGCACGCGATTCCTGGGCAGCCATTCATCGTGCCCTGCCCAGCATCGCAGGGCAGACACCAAGCAAGCCTGCGTGCCACATGCAGGTTTAGTACTAAGAGAAAACTTTTGCCTCAATTTGTTTTAAAATGGCCATGCAACTGTATGCTGCATGGGAGTGTGAGTCCTGAAATATTAATGGGAGAGGAGAATGTCTCTGGGAAGAGCTGATGGCATTTTATACATTAATATTTAATGAAAACCATTTCAGAGCTGTGCAAACACACAGTCCCTCCACCCTGGCTTGCTCTCCTGTAATTAGCAATCCCCATCTCGGCTTCGGCAGAGCCCTCTGCATGCACTAGGGGAAGCAGGTGACAGACACCGCAGCTAATTGTAATTAACAGCAGGGAGACCTTGACCCCAAAGCCACAGCCGCACTGCACCGCAGTGGGAGAAGTCAGAACTCTTGCTGGGCTCTCCATCCCCCTCACTCAGCGGGCTGCTCTGTACCCGGCGGCATGCCAGCGCCAGGGCAACTCTGCTCAAGAGCTTTGCGGCACGACAGCCATGGCTGAGCTACAGCTCGGCAGGCAACGCTCACCACGTCTGGCGAGGGAGGGTCACGCTGTGGCCAGGGACTCTTCGGGACAGTGGTGCTCTCCCTACAGAGCGCACTGAGCGTGCCTCCCTGCAGCTAGTAATAACAGCTGAAAAAGTTTTCCAAGACTCTTTCTGGCACCAGCCTGCTCAGAGCTGGGAAATGACTGCAGCTCCTGGCAGAGCATGGGCCAAACCCTGCAAACAGGCTCCCAAACCCCTGGGACACCCATACCCTGCACTGGGACACAGGCGCCAGGTCCCTGCAGGCAGCGCACATCAGCTGCTGCCTCCTTGGCGCTGCCCAATGCTCCCTGCAAACAATAAGTGCTCATTTGATTGAGGAATCAATGCTCTTTAAAATATTAATGCCTGGTTAATGTGATGTGCTAACAGCCCCAGCTGATACCAGGCAGCTGCAGGGTACCAAATGAAATACATCTTATTGCTCTGCAGTTAAAAATGCATTGATGCACCTTCAAATGAAACTCACCAAAGCGGTGTGTGAAAGAAGCGGGGAGGGAGAGCTGGCTCCAGCCAGGGGCTGTGGGGCCTCGGGGGCCCATGGGGTGCCTGCCCAACCCGGTGGGGAGGGGCAGCCCCCCAGCTCTGCACCCAAGGGCTCCCAGGCGGCTTCTCCAAGCGCATGTAGGCACTCAGGAGACACACTGGCTAGCAGAGCTGACGAGGCATAAGTGTGAATCAAGCAGGAGTTAAATTCTTAACTGAAAACCATGAATTTCATTACAAGTGATAAAACAGACATAAGGAACCCTGAGGCTGCCAGGGCTGCCTCCAGCCACCCACTGCCTCTCTGCCAGTTCACACAGACGTGCAGCAGGGCTGCGGCCAGAGGAAGAGTGGTGCCGGGCAGCTGCTGTGAAGTTCCCTGGCTAAATGCATTTGATTTCTAGCTGAGAAAGAAGCTGTTAAGATGCAGAGCCCACATTCATACATGAGGAAGGAAACAGGAGCCTAGGAAAAATACTGGTTCTGGAGTAGGATTGCTATATGCCTTATTAACTCCACCTGTGGAAGCTGGCTGGCTTTGGATTTGATCCTTATTCAGCATTCAGAGCAGGCTGCAAACCTCTCCAGTGACGCCAGGCCCCAGTCCAAGCACTCCTGGCCATGGCCATGCATTGCAGCCAGGGAGATCCACCTCTGCGGAGGTTTTGTAGCCGTTCTGTCAGCATTTTGCTTTTGGGGAATGTTAACAATAGAATTTGGAAATGCAGCTTACCATGGTGGAGAAGATGGTCTCCATCTTATCTTCTTGTAGCCGTCTGAAACCAGTTATTTTGCAAGCCAGGCTGCTGTTCACAAGGACTTTGTGGGCAGCAAGGCTTTTATGTATGTAACCCATCTCTGCCAGGTACTTCATGCCAGAGGCAATCCCCTGCAACATGCAAACGAGCTGAGTGGCCGTGAACTGTCCCTCATGTTTCTGTAAAAAAAGAGGAGGAAAAGCCACAGATGAGTAATGCCCAGTTCAAGGGGACACCACCAGCAGAGCCCAAGCAAGTGGCAGACCCCAGCAGTTACCACAGCACTCACCCTGAGAAAAGAGTCCAGCACGCCGTTCCCCATGTACTCCATCACTATCATCATGGTACTCCCTGCACGGACAGACAAGGAGCACTGCGTGAGTCCTGCCCATTGCTCAGGCAGTTCTAACACTGCAGGTGTTAGAAAGCCAGGTGCTAACCTCCAGCATGGTCAGCCTGCACTGCCTGGCTATTAAGGGAGACAAGGACTTTATCTCAGTTTGCAATGAGCAGTGGATCCAAGGCTTTCCTGTTGTTCCCAGCTGGGATCCCACTGGATCTCAATATCAGATGCTCCTTTTTATCAGGACACTGAACCACATCACAAAGGAGGACAGCACTACCCAGTGAAAGCAAAAGCAACCAGCTCAGCCCAAGACTCAAGACAGAAATACTTCCTTATCTAATAAAAAGGCTAGTTAAAATCAGCACACGTGCTCACGTTTCTTTGGATTTACATGAATATCCATTTAACTACAGCATCCACAGACTAGTTCAGCGCACACACTCCCATGAGAGCCGGGAGCAGAGTCATCTGTTTTACTGACAGAACCTCACTTCAATTTGCTTTTATTCAGAGTGCACAGTTTTGCTGCTAAGCCAGTGCTACTACCTGGATTTATAAATCTAGCTGTAAGCATTTTATTAATCATCAGAATGCTAAAACAGCTAATACATGAGGAAACACCTGATCTCCAGAGAGCCAACAGTATTGCACCTCCAGCACCAGGTCATCACTCCAAAGCAACAGCTTAAGCACACTGCCTGCACAGGAGCCTTCCTCCACTGTGCGTGGCTCAGGCTGCCCTGTGTCGTACAGCCCGGGACCCCCCTTACCTCTGGTGATGACACCTTCCAGGCGGATGACATTGGAGTGATCGAACTGGCCCATGGTGCACGCCTCTGCCAGGAAGGAGCGCTGCTGCTTCTCCGAGCACCCTGCCCGCAGGGTCTGGATCGCCACCGGCAGCTCTCGCTTGCTGGGCAGCTTCAGGCATCCCCGGCAGATTTCTCCAAACTCTCCTGCGCAGCAGAGAGATGAGTTAAACAGCATCCATGGCAGGACATCCCTCGCAGCCCACCGCTCAGCACCGCGCCTTCCCAGAGGACCCCCTGCAATTGCATTCACACCACTCCTTTGTGCACTGTCACACATCCCTCTGCCATTTCCAGACCATGAAAGAATGAGCTATCTGCTAGCCAACTTCACGGCTTCCTCACAGCTTTCGGTATCGTTGTGTAAGGGCAATGTTTTACTGAGCTGTTGCAATGCACTATAAAGACAGGGCTTTATATATATATATGTATATGTATATTTTTTCATGCTACAAAGCAAAGGGCAGCAGTTCTCTTCTGGGAAGTCAGCTTCCCTTTAGGGGATATTTCCTTTGCTTTGGGACCATAGAAAGTGCATTTCTGTAGCATGAGTGATGTGTCTTGCTGTGTAGACAAGCAAGACTTTCCCATTGTTAATCAGAGTTAGAGAAGCAAGACTTTCCCATTGTTAATCAGAGGATTTGCCAATCCATAAACTCAGAAATGCGCAGAGCCCTGGATGGCTGCGAGTTTCCCCCGCAGAGTCTGTTTTACCATCTTCCCCCACCTTTGCTGAACACACAACCCTTCACACAAGTTTAGCATCAGCATGTGATACTAAAAACATCTGATAATGCAATGCAATTTCTTCTTCCTCTTCCTACACCTCTAAGCCATTCTCTCCATGCTCTGCTCAAGTGCATATTGTGCTTTTTCCCATGAGAAGATCAACCCCCAGCCACCGAGTTCATGCTCCCTGGGCTGGCCCATTCTGCTTCCCACCTCAGCACATGCAGGGTCTGCATCTCATGGAACAGAGCACGGCAGGGCCAGGAGGGTTTCTGCAGTCTTTGAGGCAGAGCATCCCACTCTGCACAGCCATGCGCTTGACAACAGGAGCTACCAAATTCATAACACAAAAGGCCAATATTGGCTTTACAGCAGAAAATGTGTAGCTATGCAAAGCTTTATTGATTTGAAAGTCAGGTACTTGTTAGGTCAGCAGAGAGACAAATGCACTCCCAAATTCCTTACATTTAAGTATCTTCCTGACTGATTTTTCTTGATTTTTCAAACACCAATTTGCTTCCGAAAGGTATGTGGGATTAGTCTCAGCTGCTCCACTCAGCAGCTACAAAGACAACCTCCTCTTCTCCTCAGTGTCCCCTTCCCTTCAACACTGTCCTTTAAGCTGGCGGGCAAGCCCTTCCCCTCTTCCCTTCCTCCACCTCTTCTTTTTCTGCAGCTGAATTTATCTTTAGGAAAAGAAACAACAAAGAATAATTGTGTTTTCCATGTTCTGGCACACATTAGCGATTAAGGCTCTAGGGCCCAGTGAGGGGATTTTAATTTGCTTTTAAGTTTTAGGCAGTGAAGTTGATGAAAATCAATAAATCATTAGGTTCACGTATTTATAAATAGTTCTCATGCTGCTGTCAAACTGCCCAGATGCAGATAATTGCTGATGCTTTCTGGTCCGTGCCTCACTCGGTTGGCTGTACTTAGTGCCTCAGAAAAACAAATGGGAATGCAAAATCAAGCTCCCGAACAAAATACACACCAGCCCCATGCCCATCTGCCCGCTGCGAGCATGTACCCCCCTGAGACAAGAGCAAGAGCAAAGGTCCGCAAGCACTGACAGTGCCGGAGGATGAGGAGCTGCCTTGGGAGATGCCAGCAAGGCAGGCAGAGCCCACGGGCAGCAGTGGGAGGGCTGGCACGCACCCACGGCACTGCGGGTTGGGCAGGACCGCAGCACAACATCATGACACTACCGTGGCCCTGTGTGCCGGGGGTGAGCGGGGAGCGCTCCGGCTGGGCACAAGCACAGCCCGCAGCACAGCCACCGCCACCGCCCCGCGGCACGGCCACTGCCCCGGTGCCAGCCGCAGAGGGGCCAGCGAGGAGGAACTTGCCTGTCCCAATGATCCTCTCAATTTTAATACTAGCGTTATCCAACTCTTTGGCAAAGAGGTGCACACCCTGCATGGGGTCTTCACAAGTGTCAGGGTCGATGTACGTCCTCCTGGTTGGTATTTTAACTGCAGGAAAGCAGGAAATGCACAAAGAGCACATGAGAAAGGCTTGGCAGAGCTCCTGCCAGCCTGTCCCAGGAAACGCTCTTGCAGGTTATCCATCTCCAGGCCTGCTGGAAGGATTAACTTGCCACCTTTTTATAAGCAAAGCAAAAGGCTTGACTTTAAGGTTGCTAGGAAATTTCTTGTGGGATTAAATGAACCTAATTGCTCTGCTCCACTGCCACAACCCACGGGTTAAAGGAGAGCAGCTCCTTCACTCTAGTGCAGCTCCCTCCCGGACTGAGCCTATCTGCCACCCATGCTAATCCTCGAGTATCCAAATCATCTCCATTCCCAAGACCTCTGCAAGAGATAATTATAATAACGAACAGCCACCATGTTCCAGGTCCCCTCGATTAGCAGCATGGGCAGCAAAATACCTCCCACAGGCGCTTACCATCTGCTGCACAGCGAGCGACCCTGCCCGGGAGCACATGTGGAATGAGGCTGACCTGCTTACAGCAGCCACTGCAAAGCTCTGGAGGGGAAATAGCCGCCCACTTGCTGGGGTTTCCTCAAAACCCTAATTCACATTTCCTGAAAACAAACAGTCAAAACAATGGCTGAAGCACATCAGCTTTGCCACTCGCTGGGCCCCTGCTAGAGTGCTGCCATGTCTCCTCCTCCTCTCCCTGGGCAAAGCAAGAAAGATGACGGATGCTTTGCATGAGCTGCTTGGCCCATCCAGGACCAGTGCACGGGCAAATGGCCCAGGAACCCATGGACCCCCAGGAAGGGGTCACACCACACAAGGCTTCCCTTCCACCTCAGCTCCATTCGCCTTCCCGAGACCGGGCAGCTGCTGCGCTCCTCTCGCACTGCACAGAAAACCTTCGGCAAGCTCTGAAGGGCAGCTCAGCAGCGTGAGGCCCTTCAAAGCCAGGTGAAACGGCCAAGCTACGTCTGAGAAGCACGCAGTCTCTGCTGCTTCTGAAATGCTTCAGGGAGCAGAAGAGCATGTGTGCGCTTCATGGGCATATGCCAGGAATCAAATAAACTCATCAATCCTGACATCTGAATTTCCTTTGACAGCTGTTGTCTGTAAAATTATTGCTGCTCAATAATCAAGAGTAGCCCCAGAAAACAAAGCTGTATTCTCATGTAGCCGTTTGTGAAAAGCTGACGGAATAATTCATATGCCCCGTGGAAAGCTGAAAGCATCCTCACTTCCTTCGGCACGGCAGTGACCTGTGTGCGGGAAGGATGGACGCTGGCTTATGAAGCTGTCAAGCCCGCCGTCCCCAGAGAGCCTCACTGTGCTAAGCCCCCGCTCTGGGATAATGTGGGATGACAACACTTCAAAAGCAAGAATTCAGGGCTGCTTTGTCGGGAGCTTGGTTATTAATAGTAATAAATACAGGCATCTCCACACAGTCGTACCAGCCATGGTGGCCGGGCTTCACTTACAATGGAAGTACAGCTCCTCATCCCCATCCTGGCTGGCTTTGCTGTACCCACACTGTCTGCAACGAGAATGAAGATGCACACCATTACCTGGGCAGCAGCCTCTCACTGGGTATAAAAGCCTCAAGTCGCAGTGCTCAGGCACAGAGTCCAGCCCCATGCCACGAAGAGCCAGCAGGCAGTTCAACCCAGCTCCCATGCTTAGAGTCAGCACCGCTCCGTGCTCCCGAGAGCCCCTGCTGCAGGGGCTTCACTTCAGTCCTCCTCCCCTGCCCCAGCCCCAAACCTCCTCAGACCGTGCGCCGGCTCAGCCGCAGCTCCGCTCACCTCCTCCAGACCATCACACCGATCACCATGGACACCAGCACCGTCAGCCCCGTGATGGCCACCACCGTGATGACGAGGACAGGGTTCTGCTCGCTGGAGGCCACCGTCACTGCAGGAGGGAAGCAGAGTCGGTCGGCAACACACCCTAGGGCAGGTCCAAGGCACGGGGCAGCCTCAGCCACTCCTCCTAGTGCCAGCCTGCGTCCTCCAACAAGGCTGTGGAGGACACCTGCAGCACCAGGCTACTTTTCACCATCCTCTCAGGAATTCACATTCTGGTTCAGTTTTAAAAGCTCGAGCTGGTGCAATCAGAACAACGTGCAGGGCAGTGCTGCAGGCGCGGATGGAGCAACCCCAGCGCTGCCACACCAGGCTCCTGGTTTTGTTAATCAGCGCTGAGGAAAGGTTCCTGTTTGTCGGAGGAACATATTAAAATTTATGGCTTACAAATAGTTTTCCTTTATCACATTAATCCCTTCCCTTCCTGCTTTTGCAAACAGGGGTATTAGAAAGCTACATTCTATATAAAATTTTTATTGGCTTCAATTCATTCTGAAAATGTCTTCTGTGTGGCAAATGGATGCAATTTAAAGCCCTGTTAAACACAATCTGTGAGAGTCGTACTGAGCCAGCCATCTCAGGGCTTTCATTTCTAGCCAGGGTGGGTTATTAAGCTGAAGCCCTACCATCTCTCCAAGCCCTCTTTTACTCAGTGAAATAAGATGCTTCTGGACTATAGTTAATGAATGGAAACTGTGAAAAGGAAAAGCCCCAGCAAATAACACTGATGCTGGCTGACCTTATTCAGCCAAGCAGCTAACAAGCCAAGTGCCTCATGAGCCAGGATGGCAGTGGGGGTAAGCAGTCATCTCCTATCTGGGGCACGCATCCAAGGCCAGCTGGATCTCCAGGCTGGCCTTGCCTCCTCTGCTGCAGCCTGTGCAGCCAGCCGCCCCGTCTCTGCAGCACCCGCTGTGGGCTGCACAGTTTCGCAGACCCGGGCAGGATCATGCCCTCGGCAGTTACGCTGGCAGGGACCAACGCTCGCTCCCTTCCAGCACCTGTTTGGTGGCCCCACAAAAGGGACCTGGTGAGATCTGTTCCAGCACCAACATCAGGCCAAGGCAAAACAACCCCCAGTCGCTCTGGCAAGCACTTTCTTGGGGAATCTCAAAGAGCAGAGACTCTGTCCCCAGCCTCTACACCAGAGAGGAGCCAGAGACTGGCTGCCTTCACTGATGCTGCCCTGAGCGAGGACAGACACCTCCAGGACAGGCAAGCCAGCAGTAGCAACTTTGTTAAAATCAAATAGGAAAATGCAATTAAAAGCAAGTCCTGGGAAGTACCTGCTCTTAGACCCGAAGTGGCAGAACCAGAGGAACAGATGCTGCTCCATGAAACCAAGAGCATCTGGGGCAGGAGCAGCGAGCAGCAGCATCCCCAAGACTCAGTTCAAAGAGCCTCATGTCTGCAGGTGCATGTGTAAGAGACAACGAGCCTTGCCAACACTTACACTCTGCCAGCGTCTCCACTTCAATACTAGGGTTGTAGTTTCCGTAGTCCGGCGAGGAAGATGTCCGGATTTGGAAAATATAGAGGGTGCCAGGCTTCAGGTTATTGACTGTCACAGCCGTTGATGTGGTTTTCACAGTTGAGTAACTCTGATCTCTCTGATCCTGTGAAATAATGAGATACCCCAAGATCTAGCTGGACTGACAGCTGCGCCACGGAGCAGGCACAGCACAGCTGTATCTTCGCCTCGCCTCAGTCCCATCAAGACAGTCTATCTAAACATAAAACCTTCAACAGAAAGAATACATTTACTAGATGTCTCATTAATAGAAATTACATGGAAAGGTCACATGAAATGGCAGATGGAGCCAGATGATGTGCTATGAAGACAGCCGGAGGATGGGGTGGTGGGGAGCAGCTGTGCCATCCCACACAGCTCCTTTCCTCCCACCTGCCCCCACGCTGGGGCTTGGCTGCTGGCACCATCCGGCCCCTTCCCACTCGAGCCCTGGAGTAAATACGTGTATATTAGCACACGCTAAGTAATCAAAGCTGGCAGGTGTGTTTGCCAACAGTCCTGGTCCCTGGGATTTTATTCACTTGCCCAGCAACCTACAGATCCCTGCTTCAATTTTAAGGGAGAGCGCAACGGGCAGCCCCCCTCCTGCAGCCGCTGCTGGAGGTGGTGAAGGCAGAGTGGGCTCTGCCTGGCCAAGTGGCCAGTGGGACCGCTGGGCAACTTGCGACGCTTTCATGCGCCAGAGCAGCAGATCCCCGTGCCTCTGCTTCCCGTGGTTTGCAAAGCAAAACAAGCCCCAGCCCTCCCGCCAGCTTCCGCAAAGCTTCCCGTGCTTCTGCACAGTCGCCATCAGAGATTGTTTTCTCAGCCGTGTCAGGTACTTCCGAACAAGTTCCCTGGCAAGAAGATGAGGCCAGTGCCACCGCAGTCCTGGACCAGGGTTATCTGAGGCTATTTTCTACCAGGAGCAGGGCCGGGCCATGTCCCACTGCCTCAGCATCGGCCTCTCTCGGATCCCACAGGCACGTGCTACGCCCTCGTTACACCGGGGACCAGCCCCAACGAGCATCCCAGCCCTGCGATCTGGCACGGGCACAGGCAGCAGCCATTCATTGTGCTGCTCCCAGGGCCGAGGACATTGCTGTGAAATGTATTTTCCATTTGATATGCTTTTCCTCTTGTATCTCCATAGTTAAAGTACAACTTTAAAAGCAAAGATTAGGAACTAAGTTGATTTTTGTGTCAGCATCAAGACCCTCATTTCAGTGAATAATTGCTAAACTATAGTTTGAATTCCCTACCCAAGCAGGACATTTCCTCATTTCACATACCCTGAGTATCTTGTCGCTGCAGCCCATTTGCACAGGAATTACCATCTCGGGCTTCAGCATTCACCCTCACCCACAGATTCCTCCTTTCAAATCTACCAGATGCTGAAAATCACATTAATATGAATCAGCTTCAAGGTAGCTTGTTTCTAAATACAGAACGCCAACATGTCACCCGCACAGTTTGCTTGACATGTAATCAGTTTCATAACAAGCCTGAGCACACGCAGATAAGGTAATTCGTGGAACTGTGTCATAAACTGCATTTATTTTGATTTAGAGCATTGCCCCTGCTCTCTGCCCACTGGTATTTCTTCTAAAATTCTCAACCCACCACACCTGTCAAATAACAGCTATTTTTAGAATCAAGAGACTGTCATAAAAATGTTTGCTTGTGAAACACTCTGCATGGAAGACCACTCACAGCTCACCGAAGTCACGGGTTCGGTGGCCCTCAGTCCTAAACCAGTGAAGACTTTCCCAGAGAGCAGGCTATGAATACAGGTGTCATCTCGTCAAAGATTTAGAAACCCAGTATGGTTTAGCAGTCCCTGCCTAGCTGGCTAATGGCAGGCACCCAAACCTCAGATTTCTAATGTCCTTGAAAAAAGCCATCCAATGAAATAAAAAAAAAAAAAAAAAAAAAAAAAGAATGAAAATTATTAGCTTTACTCTTTCTCCCAGGGAAATGTCAACATTAGGACTGGATGAAATCTTGCTGCACAGATGGGGAAAAAAAACACTAATTAACATAAACTCTACAAATAATCCAAATTTCCTAAAATTTGCATAAACAGATTGCATAACACTGTCAGAGAAGAAAAGACCTTATTGGCCCCCATTTGAAGCGCTCCTCTTACTTTCAGGTGCCAGTAAAATCTTCACAACAGCTCCGTCTGCAGACACGCACTCCCTACATTTCCCACCACTCAGTCTTCACGCGGCGGGTGCTTGACTGGGAGCGGCAGCGGCGGCACACACAGCCCCCCCCGCACCACGCTCCCGAGGGGCAGACCTGGCTGGCAAGGGAAGCACCGGGAGTCAGCCAGGGAGGGCCGGGGCACGGCCGAGAGCCAGAGCCAGTCCTCAGAACCTACCTTCTCGTAGTACTTGACCTCGTACTCGGTGCCGTTGGCGGTCAGGAAGCCCGCCCCCTGCCACGACAAGGAGACGCTCTTCTGCTCAACTTTATCTGTGCGGATGTCAGTGACGGGAGTCGGCGCTGAAAAAGCAGAGAAGAAAGCAGCGGGTGATCGTGGTGCTGCTGGGGGCAGAGCATCCCCCCCTGCTCCAGCAGCGCACCCCACGCCCTCCCCGCAGCCAGCAGCACCCAAAGCCCCCCGCACCAGCCCAGCCCAGCCGGCCAGGCCTGGGGCAGAGCCCCAGGGACATGGCCAGTGACACTGCATGCCACCACGCTTTGGTTACTTTGGTTCTGAACAGCCAAGTAAGTGCAACCAGGAGATCACACGTTACAGGGAATTTTATCTCTATCCTCATATTCATCTCGGCTGCGAGTCCCACAAACGTGTTCAGTTGTGATTACTGCATTTCTGCTTCTGCCCTGTGATGCCGCAGTAAAAACTTTAACAATTTAAACAGCTGAAGAGCATGCTTCTTTTGCAGATACCAGTTCCCTCTCTCTGAATCAGGATTGAAATAGGGCAAACTCCAAGCTGGTGATCATCCAATGGGAGAAGATGATAGTAAAAATACAAGCTTTGTAATCTGTGGGCAGCTAGTAACGCTCCAACCAAAAAAATCCTAAAGGCACCCTCCACCCACGGTGCTGCAGAGGGGTCTGAGCGTCAGCTAATGTCCAGCGCTCTGAACCTGCTGCTACCGATTTCTGGGAAATGCAAAATACAATCTTTGAGCAGGAGGGCTTGTAGGACATACCAAGGCTTCTCCAGCCGCCTCCAACCGCCCTGGCACAGGCTCTGCCCCACGCCACCCCAAACAGGTGGGAAGACGGGAGAGCTGCCTGCCCTATACCCGCTGCCGAGCACAGAGCCTGTGCCCCAGGAGCTGGCTGTTTATTTCTAGTTAGCACATGCTCCATGCCGAATCTTCCTCCCTGGCATGTGTGCTCCCATTTAGTTCATCTCACTATGCAAGATGCACTTGCCAACTATTCCCATTTTAACCAGGTTTGGCTTCAGCTCGCGGCAGGCAGCTCGCTGTTCCCAGCTATCCGCAGGCTCTCTGCCTGACGCTGACACCTTTGCTGTTTGCGGCAGCAGAGGGTCTGCCTGCCTTACGCTGCTGCGCTCATCTCCGCCTTCCAAGAGCCTCCTCCACGCCATCTCCTCCTCTGACCACCTTCTCCTGTCTTCAAGCCACTGAGCTGTGCTCAGTGCCCGTACAGCTCCTGCACTGCCTGCACCGGGCTCCCTGCCTGCAGGCAGCATCCCAGCAGCTCTTCCAAAAGCCTCTGCCTCCCGCACCAGCAGAAAGCCAGCTGGACCTGTCAGACTGTCTGCAGCATCTCAGGAGCCAGCCAAGGACACGGCATCCCCCGACTGCCCAGCGCAAGGCAGCAGCGGCTCAGGCGCAATGATCTGCCCATGGCCAGGGCGTTCACCAGCAAGAGCAGGGAGGAAGGGGCTGCTTGGGACACGCTAGGACATCGGCGTCTTTGCTGCAAAGGTGCTATTCAAGAAAGACACTAAATATTTCAGTAGGGAAAATGAACTTTGTACCTGGTACCTTGATAAAAGCTTCTATCAGAGCCCCTTGTTCTGCTTTGGATTGATTAGAGAGGAAATTAGGATTGATTAGAAAAACTGACCTCCCCAGTGGCTGAACACGCCAAGTAAGGTCTTCACAGCTCTCCTGGGGCTGTGCCAGAAGCTGTCCTGGTTGGAGGGCAGAAAGTCTCCTCTCTGGATGAAGAGGGAATGGGGAACAGCAGAAAAGCCTCCTGTAATTGTGGCTCTGGGCTGCCCAGCCTGTCCTCAGCAGCCATCAGGCTGGCTGCGGCTGGATGGCACTGTCCTGGCACAAGGAAGGGTGGTCCCTGGATCACCCCGGTAAGCACCAGGGGCCAGAACACACCAGGGTGAAGCAGCTGCAGTGACCGATTCACCCATTTACACCGGTGGCTCTGCAACAGGCACAGGGAAAGCTGCACAGGGAAACTGGCTGTTTCTAGCTTGTCCCATTTCTCCATCAAATCAGGACGTTTGCTGGACCCTGACTATCCACAGAGACTCCTGTGGAGAAGAACAAGTCTCTGGAAAGTAAACTTAAGTATCTGTGAAATTTTGTATTTATTACTTAGCTCATTAATCTTTGCTGAAGAAAAAAGTCCTCCTGATGTTTTATTCATGACAATTTGCTCCTTGATTCCAAGTCCCTTCGGCTTCCGCTGAAAGAGCGAGAGGACCCGAAGGGCAGCCGGGAGCCCCCACGCTGGTGCAAGCTCACACCCCCTGCACACAGCTCCCTCTGCTGCAATCTGGCTGCACGTCATTTGACACTTTTAAAAATAATTCTCTGAGTAATACACTGGCCACAGAGCTGACCTTTAAGGGGATATCGAAATGTCCATATGTAAAGGAGGGGGAGACAGTTCACCCCGGCAGCACAAAGCAAGGCAGAAAGGTCCACCAGGCCAGGCAGGACACGACCCCCTGGGCGGCTGCACCACGAACCCGCAGCATAAACGCGTGACGAGGTCTGCCTCCTTCTCGGGGATCAAGATAAAAGGCAGGACTACAGAGATCTTCACGGGCACCCGTGGAGCGAACCTCTCCTGCCCACGTCAGACTTCACAGCTTTCAGACCTCCCGCATTTTTTGCCAACATTTTTCACACAATGGGAGGTCTGTGACTCCTCCTGCACGGCAATCCTGCAGTGCACGTGGTGCTGCCATCCTCCTCACGCCAGTCTATATGACAGCGCACGGGGAATGGCCAGCACCAGCAGCACCCGTGTGCGGGAAAGGTTCCCCTCCTCTGCCAGAGACCTTCAACACTGCAAATACTGGCAGGAAGCCCCATGCCCTCTTGTGGCACTTCAAACACCAATAATGAGTATGACCAAATTCGCACCAGTTTGGCACACTTTTGCTCCAAACCTTGCAAATTGCTCCTTATTCCCACTTCATCAGAGCCAGGTTTAGGCTGGCACAGGCTGTAATATGGCATTTGCTGTTGGGGTGGAGCGGTGAGAATGATTTTAGTATGTAAGAAGTGTTTCAATAAGATGGGAGAGAAAAAAAAAAAGGTAAATATTCTTGACTTCCTTCATCAGTCTCGCAAACACACAATGACCCATGTGCACAAACAGAAATGCACACGGGCACACTCACAGCTCTCAGCACTGGAACAGCGGGGTAATCCCCACCACGAGCCTGTGGCCTCTGCATGAGTGCACGTCACTACATGTTTTACGAAACGACAAGTGATAGAGGTGGCTGAGGCCAGCCTGACACTTAACTTGGGTTTTGCTCCTGTAAACTAAGTTAAGTGCTCCTTGCTGTTTTATATGATTCCCATCAATAAAACATCACACAGATGCCCTCCTGTATCTCTGAATCTAGCAAACGGACTGAAGAAACCTGAACAAGTGGCCCTGACTGTTAACAAAATCATCAGGAAAAGTCACACTCGCTTAGTGATGGGCTGTAGAGTAGAACCAATGGTACATGCCAGAAAAGCAGGCACTAGCCTCAAACATGTTTAAAAGGGATTAAAGAAAATCACGCAGACTATAAAGCATTTCACACTGTGAAAAAAAATGTGTTTCCCATCAATATTTTAAGCTCCCCTAACATTGCCTCTATTCTGAAAAAGCAAATATTAAATTATTCACCACTCTGCCTGATTTTATGAACTCCATTCCATTGTATGTGGGTTTACTCCTCTTAATTAACCAGAGTACCAGCAGAAAAGGCATAAAACTAGGTGTGGGCACCGTGTCCCTCCACTGAACAACCCACTGCATCCAAAACCCAAAGGGGTTAGAGAGGGACAACAGCAAGTACTCAAAGATGGAGTTGAACCAAGAGTGCCTGCAGGCCACACAGCAGGAAGAGCCTCTTTGGTGTCCAGCCCCAGCTCCCGCACCCAGACGTCTCCAGGAACGCTCTCCCCACACCTTTTCAGAGCCGGGGCAGTCGAGCAGACACACAGCAAGCAAGAGCAGACCACAACCTGTCCACCGTGCTGTCTGCTGCTCCCTGCATGGGGTGAGTGGCAATCGGATGGACAGAACTTGCCATCGCCCTCGAACACCTCTGCTGCCCTGCACCATGACACTGCTCGTGCTGGGGAGAGCCAGCCTCTCCCCTCCACCACCAGTTATTAACACCCCAACACAGAAAACACACTGGGCACTGTCCCAGGCAACTCCTGCCCCAGGGTCTTTCTTTCCAAACCAGAGAAGCAGCCTCATCAGTTACCGTGCAGCTCTTCCAGGTCTGGTTCTCACCACATGGAGGACAAAGACCCCGCAACCGTGTGCCCTTGCCCCAGAGTCAGCTCGTCCTGTGGCCCCCCCACCCCTCCTGGCTGGGGCTGGGCTGGTATTGCTGCACAAGCAACAAGCAGGCGCACAGAAGTCTGCTTCAGAGGACCTAATTCAGCACAAGCCACTTCTCCACAGTCTGAGAAAGGAGAATGCATTTCGGCACTGGCTGCATTATTAATCTGCAACAGATTTAAAAGCCCTTTAAGATAGGAGCCGATCCCTGCTGGGAATATAAGTGATATCGTCCCAGAGTGTACATTTACATAGCTAATGCAGCTCTACTCCTGCAGGTAAACAGCTCCGTTCACTCCTCAAACACTTTTATTTAGTCCCATGCTGGGGCCAGATTAGAAAAAACACAGTATTAATTTTGCCTCCTGCAGACTAAATAGCATCTTTTCTTTTCCCCTGCAAAAACAATGAACAACTGCTAATTCCCTCTTGTGACTGACAAAGGGGAAGGGAAGTGCGAAAGCTGCACTCGGAGCTATATTTAGAGGAGCAGAAATCTGACAGCTAAAATAGGGTCTTGTTTCTTTGTTTAATTTTGCCTCTGAATCTGCATATCTGCAGCCAGAGCTTCCCTGCTGCTGCAAATGACTTCCCCGAGACCATCGCATCGCAGCCGCCAAGAAGCCACCACTGCTTCAGGCATCCCTGAAGCGTCTCTTTCTCCTGATCTCCGGCCCCATCCAGCACTTCTGTGACGGGCTTTAATGATGAGGGGCTCCAGGGCTCGGGACTCGGTGGAGACAGCATGCTCCACAGGGCGGCTCCGCAAGCCGTCCGTGCCAGCCATGGCTCTGCATCCTGCCTGCACCGCTGCCTGGTGCACAGGGTCCCCTTCCGTGCACAGCCCTCCTCGCAGCGGCGGGGCTCTTGCCCGAGAGGGGCGTTACAGGCAAACCAGACTGAGAAGCTGCCTCCCCAGGAGTTGACCTTCTCCTCCTCCTTGCTGATAAACACAGGTTAACCATCACTGTCACTTCTTGCCCACAGTGTCAAAGCAAGAGGAACTGGGCCACCTGCGCACCCGCAGACGGAACAGGTCCAGCCTGGCACTGCTCCTGGGAGGGGACACCTTCAGCAGCAAAAAGTTTAAGTGTTTCAACAAACTTCCTGAGCCTCAGCTGCTCAGCTAATTCTGAGCCACCATCTGCATCCGGAGACTTGATAGCTCGACAAGAGACATTGATTTTGAACAGATTACAAGATTAATTATGCCATATTCTTTAAGTGTATTTCAGTTCTTCAGGAGTATGCAGCGTTGAGTAAGGGGCTGAGATTCTCGCTTACCCAGAAGAAAAGCTGTATTACACAGACGAACAGCTAAGGCATCGGTTGGTATCACAGACTTGTTGCTTCACTCCCCACAGAGGACGGGGAGCTTGCTGCCCTTACCCGGCCTCTTGTCCCCAGCTCAGACTTGAAGCTCCAGGCAAGGAGGCTGCTCCTGAGCACCGGTACCCCTGCCCTCTGCCCAACACCAGGCAGGAGCCTCTGGAGGAACGGCTCATTATTAGACCTCATTAAGCTCACCCCTCCCTAGCTTGTACGCTGGCTCAGGAATAGCCTGAGCTCAGGAGACAGAAGATCTTCCCAGAGCTAAATCCATCCTTGAACAGCAAAGATTCTAATGAGGAATGACACCTCCACTGAAGAGCAGTCTGCGGCACAGCATCCACCCAACGGATTCACAGAAATTATTATATGAGGGAAGAGAAAGCAACAACACGTGCAAAAACATTTGATCCAAGTGGTGGAAAAATAATTTATAACAAGATCAAAGTTTAATCTCTTCAGATGAAATTGTTGGCCAATTCCTGCCACGAGGTATGTGAGGATCATCTGTCTCCATTAACTGTGGTTTGGCAAAGGGTTTTCATGCAAATTAATAATGCAACTGCAGAGGAATAGACAAGGACACAACAAGCCAGAGCCAATTTCCCTTAGGCACAGCTAACAACTGAGGAGGGATCAAACCCCTCTGGCCAGCCAGGGGCCCCGTGCACGCAGGCAGGCTGGATGCTCGCTTCCCCTCACGTAAGGGAATAGAAACGCGAAATGTGAAGTGGAAAGGGACACTTACTGTAAGAAATTGTGCCACAGAACAGCATAGAAGAGAGATTAAATCAATCTTTTTGTTTCAAAAGGATAGCCAATATTTGAATTATCTATTTTAAGGAGGGTTTTTTGTGAATGGGCTGAAAACGTTGCTTCTTTGAAGGTGCTTTTTTGTGATCTGTAAATTCAAACTGCAGTCGGATCACAGAGCAGACTCATCCCTTGGGAGGAACCCAGGCTGTCACCACATTCACTGCCACCCTGCTGCGAGCCAGCACAGTGCAGTGGGAGACAACGGGGCCACGGGCTCCTCCAGCACAGCCAGCTCCTCACCTCCCCGTGGCACCAACCAAAACCAAAACCCCCTTGGGAGTGTCGCAGGCCGGTCTCCATCTCCCCCTCCTGCCTGTGCTGCCTGCCATCACTGAGCACCACGTCTGTGCCACCGGAGCAAACCAAGAGGAATCGGGGCATCTCCGCGGCGTCGGGAGGGCAGAGCCCGAGGACGGTGCCCACGTACCTCCAGACCCCACGTCCTCTCGGCAATGAAGCCATAGAACCGGCCGCTGAGCAGACCCACAGACCCCAGAGGTCACACGCAAGTGTAAGACAGTGCAGGCAACCGTTTTCTTGGTGCAATGGGGGCAAGGCACCACCCACCTTCAGTGGTCGCATGCACTACGTGGCAGCCGTACCTGTGAGGCCAGTGGAGACGTTGACCTCGGCGTACTGCTGCCCCGACAGCGGGCTGACACCCGAGACACCATTGACAGCCGCCACGCGGATGGTGTAGTTGACGTGAGGCAGCAGGTTCACCAGGGTGACAGTTCGGTCCACAAGCCCCGTCTGCTGCGGCACAAAGCCCACACCGCTGCCGCACTGCTCGCAGCGGCCCCGCAGCGCCGCCGGGCACCGGCTGCACCACAGGCTGTAGGTCAGGTCACTCCGTCCGCCTGCATCAGCAGGGGCACTCCACTCCAGGACCAGTGATGACTGCCGCAGGCTGTAGACCAGGTTCCTCGGGGCAGAGGGTGGACCTGGAAGCAGAAGAGTGTCTGTGCATGGGTGTCAGGACAGCTGGGCACTGCCTGGGGAGGAGGACAAACCTACGGGTCCTCTGGGAGCAGCAGCACAGGCACCAGTGGCGGAGCAAGAGAGCGCAGTCCCAGGCAGCCACAGCACGTGGCAGCGCAAGTGGACACGGATGCACTGATGCACACAGCACGGTAGGGACACCGGACAGAGGATCCCCGCCGGAGGGACACGTTATACACAACAAGCCACAGATCACACAGTGCACGAGAAGCACCCATCCGGACCCGGCACCTCCCCGGGGTTCAGCTGCAAGGGGCCCAGGAGCCCTGCCGCTGGTCAGACACTGCCCGGCCACGCTCACTCTCGGGCAAAGTGGGAGGGTTTCTCATCGCTCTGCAGGCAGCTATACGGCATCCATCATTGGAGTAGCTGGGGTCCAATCCAATTAACTAGAGGCCATTTAATTAAAATCTGTGAACTATATTGACTAAATGACTGTGCCCTAGTTTTACCAAGGAGTCTGCAAGCCCGACCGCACGTCTGGCTCATCAGATTGCAGCCTCAGCTTGCGAGCTCCATGGCATAGGGACAGCCCCTCCATCCCCTCCCCACCGCGGCAGTACCCTAGTGCAGACAGGACCTCCCAGGGACACACGTGCCCAGGCACAGCTCCCATGGGCTAGCAGTGGGACAGCCTCAGACAGCCTCCCGGGCACCCACTCAGTTCTGCGCTGCAGGACAGACGCAGCGTCTGGATCCCTGTATCCTCACTTTACAAAGAGCCGGCATTTCAGCAAGACGTACGTGTGCAGGAGGCAGATGGTGGGTCTGACGGGGACCTAGAGTAGTTCTTCTGGCACAAACAGAACGTGGAGGCTTCCTCATGTGTGAAGCTGTGCTCAGGGCAAGGAGAGCAGAAAGGGAGACGGAGGGAAAGCTTGTAAAATCCAGGAAGGCAAGCTGAAAAGACAGAGAGAGGGAGTTATGGGAAGCACACCACAAAATGAATGGGGGATACGTCTGATGACTGCATTTCCCCGTTTCCTGGGACATCCTTTGCCTGCCACTGGCCAGCAGATATCACCCTCCAAGCTACCTTCACTGAACGCCTGCATGGTCCTGGCACCAAGAGAGATGTGCCTTTGGTTTGACCCAGAATGGGGGATGCTGTAGCTCTGCACTGACTTCCAGGCTGGGGGACCCTTTCAAGGGGCTGGAGGAATGGTCAGACATCAGCTGGAGCAATGCATGGAAGGAGCTGGAGGTTCTGGAGGATATGGAAAACACATGGCTTAGGGTTTAGAGTCAGGTGAGCGGAGCAGAGATGACATGAGAGCCACAGCAAGACTCAGCAACAACCCCAGAAGTGGAAGAATGTTGAAAATGGAGAAGTTGGAGAATTTATCAATCACCAGTGCTTCACATACAAACCCAAGCCACAAGGCCATGTCACTGGCAGCTACAGCTTTATCACTGTGGATTATACAGCAGTCACTGCAGGCCATGAGAGATGTGCTGAAGTTAAACAACAGTAGTATAAATTTGCTTTTATAGGTCATACACAGGCTTCCCTTATCCTTTTAAAAGTACCTTTGATATGCAAACAAACAATTCATTCACACGCTGGTCAAGGATTTGCTTGGTCTTTACTACAAGCAGCATGCAGCCTACAAGCAATACCTCTAGCAGGACACCCAGAAGCTAGTTCTGCATGAAAGACTTATTACCTTACAAAACCAACAAAAAAGGCTGCAATACTCCATAAAGCAGTTTGCAACAGCTTCAGTTTGACCCTAAAACATCTGAAAAGGAAGCAGCCTGCAAAGAAACGTGTGCCTGTCATTGCTGGGTGCCCCATAGGGGATGGGGCAGGTGTGCCCCGTGCACACCTCCTGCCTGCCTGCACAGAGGTCCCCTCAGGCTGGCAGCCCCTCTGCACTGAGGGGTGACCCGCAGCAGGGCCAGCATGTGGGGCAGGAGTTTGTCTCAGCTGGATCTCAAGCCAAACAGAAGCACTCACGTTTTGCTTGGCTTCTTCATCTTCTTGGTGTGGTGCTGCTGTCTGCTATCCCTTCATCAGCTCCCTGAATATTTAAACTTAATCACTTGTAAAGTTCCTAGATGAACAGCTCCACTAACGCAGTCCCCTCTCTTACCATTTTTAAGGAGTTGGCTGCTGAGACTGTTCCTTTTAAAGCAGATTATTCCAGTGCACTCTGGTTCATTAATTTTTAGCATGATATAAAACTGGCAGCTACAGCTGTGCTCTGAGGACAAAGCACTAGACATAGCACGGGGCAGAGAGGATCTTTCCCTGGGATGCTGAAAATGGGTGAACATTTAAGGGGAGGTTATTTCATCTACCGCAAGGTCTTTAGAAATTCAGTGCCCTGCAGTCACACACGGGGAGGGACCGCAGCACCATGGCTGAGGTTTGTACTCCCAGGGGTCCCTTCATCCCCTGGCCGCTGGCACACAACAGACAGCAGCTTGGCAGAGCTGGAAGCAGCAACACACATGAGATATTTTTGCTTTTCTTACATAATAGATACAGCCTTTCAAGAGCTGCCTAAAAGCCTTGTTCCTTGCCAGGAACATGCCAGGAGCCCTCATTGGGCTCCCCTTGCAGCCAGCGAGAGCAGACACCTTCACTGGCTGTCAGTGCCTGCCGGACAGCTGGAGCATCCTCTCCTGAGAGGTGCTAGAGAGGGGATTTCTGGGAAAATACGTGTTTCTAGGAAGAAGAATCGACATTTGCTTCTTGATCTTGCAAACTCTTGGCAACAGCTGCTGCCAGTATGGCACTGGAGAGCCTGCGGTTCTATATTCACCTCTCCCGTCTCAGTCTGCACACCTCCAACACCAGATAAAACTAACCTTTAAAAGCACGGGCATGACAAACACAACAGAGAAGTAAGATTAAGACAGCGAGCTGCAATGCATAGTAAATGTCATTCCCTACTTAGGGTGCTAGATGAAACAGGAAAAACTAGCAAGTGTTAAAATTACTCCCAAAACTTCCAGCTTCCTCTTTATAGTTGAGAAACCAAACCAAAACTAACGTTACATTCATATAATGGAGACATAATTAGCTTGCTTTTCCTGTAGTTAGGCAGCACTGACCACAACACAGGGCAGAAATATCACCAGTGGCCTGCTAAAGATCCCAACACCTTGCACGCACAGGACACAGCCACTCCCAGAGAGCAGAAGCCTGAGAGCACATCCTACCACAACGGAGGAGGCAGCCAGATTTCAAGAGAGAAACCCAGCACGAGCATTGAGCACTTGGAGGTCTCCGCTGAAAGAGCCACCGACAGCGAGCCAAACACGTGCTGCACCCATCCCAAAGAGGCAGAGAATCAGCAGACCCCCAGATCCCGCACGCTGGGGACAACGTTTGAACTTCCCCAAACGCTCGAGCGTTTCCTCCCGGCTCTGCAGGGAGGTGACCTGAGTGCATGCCCAGAGCCGGGGCTCGCATCGCCACAGAACCAGCCCTTCTCCCAGTGGCTGGAGGACGCGGGGAGACGTGCACCCCGAGAGCAGAGCCAGGGCACAGACGGTCCCCTGGTGCCTCCTGGCAGACAGCCCCAGGATGGGACAGGGGCTCGTGGGCTTCGGTGCTGCACATCGATTGCAGCCTCTGTCTGCTGCGGCTCCAGCTCAAGCTTATCCCTCCCTGCGGGAAGAAGCCTATCTCGTTATGGCATCATTGTGGTTTAACCCCAGCTGGCAACTAAGCACCACACAGCCGCTCATTCACTCCCCCCACAATGGGATGGGAGAGAGAATTGGAAGGGTAAAAGTGAGAAAACTCATGGTGGGTTGAGATAAAGACAGTTTAATAGGTAAAGCAAAAGCTGCGCACGCAAGCAAAGCAAAACAAGGAATTCATTCACTCCTTCCCATGGGCAGGCAGGTGTTCAGCCATCTCCAGGAAAGCAGGGCTCCATCATGCGTAACGGTGACTTGGGAAGACAAACGCCATCACTCCGAACATCATTGCTCCAAACGTCCCCCCGTTCCTTCTTCTTCCCCCGGCTTTATACGCTGAGCATGACGCCATACGGCGTGGAATATCCCTTTGGTCAGTTGGGGTCAGCTGTCCCGGCTGCCTTCCCCTCCCAGCTTCTTGTGCCCCCCCAGCCTGCTCGCTGGTGGGGTGGGGTGAGAAGCAGAAAAGGCCTTGACTCTGTGTAAGCACTGCTCAGCGATAACGAAAACATCCCTGTGTTATCAATGCTGTTTCCAGCACAAATCCAAAGCATAGCCCCATGCTAGCTACTGTGAAGAAAATTAACTCTATCCCTGCCAAAACCAGCACAGGCATAAAAGTCTGAACACTGGTGCGAGATTCCTGCTCGCACCCTCTGTCAGGCAGAACAGAAAAATCCATCTTGTTTACAAACTTGACGGGACCTGAGCACTAAATCCAGAGCATACTGCCGCCATACCTCGGATTTAAAGGTGAGCCTGACAGTCACATAAATTTGACATCTCGTAGGAAATTGAACGTTTTCAATGAGAAGCATCTTTCAGGCTGTTCCTCCCTGTTTTCTAATAACTGGGAGAAGTAAGTTTACAAAAGTGTCTGTCAGAAGATATGTCGGTTAATAACTGTACGAAACGCCTCGATTTGCATTTCCCAGAAACACAGGCACGCCAACGCTGTGCGAGCGCGTTCCGTGAGAAGCCTGGACACAGCTCAGCCTGTGGGCTTACTTGTTAATTTTGTTCCTTGGTTGTCTGAATCTTATGCTTGAGAAGCACAAAAGCACCCCAGCACGTGTGATGCATCATATGTGTATCTCTGTTTCTTTTCTCAGATAAACTCCCACCCTTTTCCACCTCATCCTACAAGTGTTTTTCTTGGTCCCCAGCTGGTTTAGGTGTCCCTGTTATTTCACAGCGCTCGTTTTTGCAGTGGGTATGTGGCAGCTCTCAAGAGATCTGGCCATCAATTTATAGAATGAAATTCTCTTTTTTGTACACTATTTTCTATCCTATTCCTTGTCCTCTGGTAATACTGCAACTTAATTATTAAATAATAAAATTCAATAATACATTCTCCTAGAGCCAAAGAGAAGCAGCTGGATGGGTCAGACAGATTAATTGCCTCTCTCCAGCTCCATCATCGCTGCCCATACAAGCTACTCCCTGTTCACCAGGCATGCCTTATTCATTTCACTGACAGAAAGAGCACATGTTCCCTCCTTGATATAACACTGTATGCACACACGATCAAACTAGTAGCAGAACAAGCAACATTGATTTGTGCTGCAGCTTGGCAGATTACCCAGCACGATGCACCCACGGGAAGGGTTTCTCTTACCAACTCATCTGCCGCAGCTCCTCAGACAAGAGCGGATGGCTCTATCGAGAGGAGAAGGCAACATCCTCTCTCACGCCCAGCCTGTGCCATAGGGAAAGCAGGGGCAATTGAGGATGCAGAGTTGAAAAATGCATGGTTTCCTGCTCAACTGGCATGGGACAGCTTTAATTTTCCCTCCCCAGCAGTTCAGACATCTCCATCTCACAGCACTATAAAGCCTGCCAACCAAGTTCTTCTGCCAGCGGCTCCTAGCCGTAACCTTCCCCTCCAGCCAGGGGCTCGGAGTCACAGCTCCAAGGATGCTGAAGCTGCTCCTTCACCAGCAAGGATCTCAACATTTTCTAAGCTGCAGCTAGCTGAGTGTACAACTTTTGGCTTAAAAAATGGCAGAAGAGATCCCTGGCTGAAATCCTGATTAATCAGCAAAAGGGCATCAGAGTTTGAGCAGCTTTATCTTGTTAATCAATGAACAGTGATTAAAAGTGACTCGCTATGTGCATCAAGTAGGACAACCTGACTGCAGGACACAGGCTCTGTAAGCTCCAGGGTTGATCATAGTCGCTGTTCAAGTGAAGCATGGCCAAGATTTTGCATGCAGCAGTAAAATGAAGTTATTAATCACCCT